GAATCAATATACAAATGGAGGCACTTCCAAACAATGGAATACTATGCATTAATCAAAAGGAACAAACTTCTGATACAGCATAGATGAATATTCAATGCATTATGCCAAGCAAAAGAAGCCAGGCTCAATAAAGGACATTCTGTATAACTGCATTTATATAAACCTCTGGAAAAGGCAAAGCTACATGGATGGAAACAGACCAGTGGTTGCCAACAAGGGCTGAGGCCGGGAAGAAAGACCAGCTCTAAAAGGGAATGATCAGGGAATTGTTGGGGGTGAGGGAACTCTTCTATGGAACTACGATGCTGGATACACGACCCCATGCATTGATCAACTACCACAGAACTACACATTACAAAGAGTAAGTTTTACTGTATGAAAATTTAAAAACAACCACCAGGATATGGAAAGAAAGGTGAACTTCAGACTATAACAAATTAATCTAACTTAGTGAAACTTATGATTATGGCTACCTTATTAACTGTATTACACATGAATGATATAACTGTACTGAAAGACATGGAGAACAAAGGAGCAGACCTAAGTCTAGAAAACAGTGTTTTGACTGGATACTGTAATGTTGAAGATAAACAGAACTGTATACAAGCACTGTACTGGAATATGGTTGGTAAACTTTGTTTCTCAAAGGGGTTTGGGTTAGCAACTCTGAAACGACTTTATTTGTATACCAGAGTTGCACAAACCAACAGACTGTGGGTAGTAAGTCAGGATTTTTACTGTTGGAGAAAGAAGGTGGGATAAAGCAAAGGGGAGAGCTAGTATGAACTCTGTTGTTTGGAACAGAGTTGGAGTTACCAATATGCATTTATGTTTTTTAATATGCAAATGAATATAGATGTGTGTGTTTACATGAGTTAGTCTACCTACATTTATTTTCTAGCAGTAGCTATGTAAAGCCCTAGAAGTGAGGACAACTCAGCAGTAATGAGCACATTTAGTTCCCATATCTTTGTTTTAAATACAATTCTCCAATTAAAAGGATCATGGCTCATAAGAGAACTCTGATTCCAGAGCTGAGGCAGGGGAAATATAAAATGAGCCTGGAAGGTCTTTTGGTGATAGAAAGTAACAAAGTGCTTAAAAAAAAATGGAGGCATATTGAAAGAGCACAAGAGGCCACCTGGAAAAGCTCAAAAGGGACAAAGCTGGAAAAACTTGGGCAACAAAATATGCAACAGAAATATTGGAGTAGAGCATAGAAAATAAAATAAGTAACTATGACTTCATAGTGATATACAGAAATGATTGAATAAGCAAGGAAATGAGGAAAAAGAGACAAAAGATCCCAATAGAAGAATTCCAATGAACAAATGTAGAAGAAATGAGGGAAATAGAAAATCATCATTAGAACACTACAGTAGGGGCGCCTGCGTGGCTCAGATGGTTAAGCCTCTGCCTTCGGCTCAGGTCACAATCCCAGGGTCCTGGGATTGAGTCCCGCATCGGGCTCCCTGCTCAGCGGGGAGCCTGCTTCTCCCTCTGCCGCTGCCTCTCTCTCTCTCTCTCTCTGACTCTCATGAATAAATAAAACATTTAAAAAAAAAAAAAAAAGAACACTACAGTAACGACTCTCATAGTGAAGAACCACCAATGAATGCATAAATTAGCAGATGAAAAGTTTAAACAAGAATAGGATATATGCAAAGTCTCAAGGTAGCTCCCCCTAAATATTTAGTAATTCCAAGAAAAAAAATAGTACCTTTGCAGTGGAGAATCCTAACAGACACCATCTTAAGCAAGCGATCAAGGTTAACATCCCCAGTCATCCATACTGACACCACATACTCCCAGACAGGGAACACAAAGAAGAGGGACAACACCTCTGGGACACCCTTCCCAATAAGGCATAAGCCCAGTCTCATCATGACAAAGCCGCAGACAGATGCAAAATGCAAAATGAAGGACACTTTACAAAATAACCAGGATTATTCAAAATTGTTAAGGTCACTTCTGAAAGACAAGGAATGACTGAGGAGCTATCACCGACTAAAAGAGGCTAAAGGAACAAAACAAATAAATTAAATGTGGTACCCCAGACTGGATTCTGGAACAGAAAAAGGATAGTAGTGAAAAACATCTGAATAAATTCATCACTTTGGTCAATAGTATTGTACCCAGGGCAATGTCTTTGCTTTAATAATCATCTAACAGTTATGTCAGATGTTAACATAAGAGGAAGCTATACAATGCATACAAATGCTCTGCACCATTTTTGTAACTCTTCTGTAAACCTAAAATTACCTAAAAATAAAAGCTAAAAAAATAAGGTAACAATGGCATATAGATTGAGAGAGAAATATAGAAACTGAAAACATTCGATGGGCCTTGTATAATCTAAGAAGTAAAAGTACCGAGTAATATTAGGAGATGGTAAATCAAAAAATGCATGTCATACTTTCTAAGGTAACCACTTACAGACCAGTTAAGAGTTTATAACTTCCAAGATAGTAGGATGAGAAAATGGAATAATAAAATAAAATGGAGGGAGGCCTGGGTGGCTCAGTCGGTTAAGCGTCTGCCTTAGGCTCAGGTCATGATCCCAGCATCCTGGGATGGAGTCCCACATCAGGTTCCTTGCTCGGCCTGCTTCTCCCTCTGCCTGCCGCTCCCCCTGCTTGTGCTCTCTCTCTCTCTCTGACAAATAAATAAATAAAATCCTTAAAAAGATAAAAATAATAAAATGGAAAGTTAAAAGAAGGTAAAGATAAAAAAAATAGAGACACACACACATGAACAGGTAGAAAGAAATGAAAGCACTTAGGAAAATAGTAGATTAAAAACCAAATATATGAAAAATTAAATTAATTGAAAGTGGACTAAATGCAAAACAATGTAAGATTGCATTAAAATATCCAACTATATACTGTTAATAAGAGACACAGAGAAAAGACAAAAAGTTTAAAGTGAAAGAATGTAAAATGAGCTACCTGCAAAATTCGAACCCAAGAAATCTGATGAGACCATGCAGGTATCAAACAAGGTGAACTCTAATACAAAAATTACTACTAAAGATAAAAATGATAAATGCATCATAATGATAAAGTTAAATTCATGTGGAAGATTTAACAATTCTGAATTTGTATGCACCTAACACCATAACCTCAAATATATACAAAGCAAAAATTAACAGAAATGTAACTAGAGAAATCTGTAATCATACTGGGAGAGCTTAACCTCTCTCAGTAACTTACTAAGAAAGCAGATAAAAAAATCAGTAATGATACAGAATATCTGAACATGATTTACAAACATAACCCAATTGATGTACGTGGAACATTACACCCAAAGCTACACAATATACATTATTTCTAAGTTCACTGTGAATATTTTCAAAACTTAACCACTGCTGGATCATTAAGCAAACCTTAAGAAATTTTAGAGGACTGAAAACAGACAGACTGTATTTTCTGGTCAAAATATAATTAAATTAGAAATTAATAACAAAGATTAAAAATCCCACAAATTTGGTAATTAAGAAATATGCTTCTAAATAATCTATAGGTCAAAGAACAAAACACATTGAAAATAAAAAATATCTTAGACTGAGTAACAGTAACAATGCAATACATTAAAACTTGCAAGGTACAGCTAAAGCCTGGCAACCGAAAGCTAGAGGCCAATGTATTGATTAGTTTGGGGGTTACTACCGAAGTTTTCTGTCTGCATCTTTTCCAGTCCTCTGGCTACAGGAAGCAGGCTTCTCTCTGGGCTTTTTGTCTGTTTGTATCTGTTGGCCTTCCCAGGTTGCTGGCTTCTCCAGCACCAAGTATGAGAGGTATGAGGCAAAAAGAAAACCAAGGGAGCTCACTGCTGTATCATTCCCTGTCCCAAGGTTCCTAGCTGGTCTGCCTTCTTCTCCCTACCCTTCAGAGTATTCTAGTGTTTGTTTTCTTTTTCTTTTTCTTAAAGATTTTATTTATTTATTAGAGAGAGAGAGAGAGCACAAGTAGGCAGAGAGGCAGGCACAGGGAGAAGGAGAAGTAGACTCCCCACTAAGCAGGGAGCCCGATGAGGGACTTGGGGATCATGACCTAAGCCGAAGGCAGATGCTTACCCGACTGAGCCACCCAGGTGCCCCTTCTTATGTTTGTTTTCAATATCGTGTCCAGGGTTTTCAGCTGTACTTACTGAGAGGAATAGGCAAAACTACTTCTGTTCACCTTTCCAGACACAGAAGTCTCTCATAAAGGGCTTTTAAGGTACTGACTTTACTGTCTTCTTTCTTAATGTGGTGGTGGTTACATGGGTGCTCACCTTATTATTCTTTATGCTTGTATGATTTATGTATACCCCTGTGTATACATTCTGCAATTTAAAAATACGCAGCACTGTAAGCATTACAGTTCTCATAACCCTCTGTGAGGCAAGGAGGAATCTCTCTGTTCCACTGTGCAGCAGGGACACTCAAACTTAGAAAACACAGAGCATACTGGACCCAGGTCAAGAACCCAAGGCCAGGGCTCTTAACCACTAAGGCATTTACTACTCAAACTCAGATGGCCTCCACAACGAATTAAGAAATGTTAAATCTGGTAAAATTTCTCCACTCTTAGAATCACACCTAAAATAAGGCTCTTCATGCACAGACATTTTATTTTTTGGTTAAAGCTGCAACCACTGGAAATGCCAAATAAATAAATGTGTACAAGGTAGCAGAAGTCGGATTCACTAAAATACATCACAAAGACACTACGAGGTACTAGAAAGCTTGATTCTACAGGCGCCCTGACCCTGTCCTCTGGATGCAGATCACACAGGCTAACCAGAGAGATGCCAGATCAGTATGGACTCAGCTCACCTGGGACCTGCCCTAGGCTGTCTTCCCTCTGCTCCAGACATTCACTTTTCCAAATTCTCACCTGATGGGGCTAGAACACAGAAAGGTATCTGTCACACTAGACTCAAAGATGTGGGCTTAGAGCCAAGACAGAGAAAGGACAAAAAAGGATGTCAGTCAACTTCTATCGATCCACATGGCCTCAAGAACTCTTGTTCTCGCTCATGGAACCACCTACTGGAAACTGTGAACAGGGAGAAAGTGTATTACAGTCTTGTCCTTCAGTAGCCAAGATTGATTCCTCCTTCAACCCAGGTTCTGTGCTGGGTCCTGGAATCAGACTTGAGTAAGACACTGTCTCACGTCCCAAGTTGCTTATGAGCCAGTGAGGAAGACAAATAAAAACATAATTATATATAATTCTGCCAGTGACACAAGACAGGTGTGTAGAGGTTGCCATGGGAGCAGAGTCCGGGGCATCTCGTGAGGTAAGAGAAGAAAAGAAGACCCCAGGGCTGGGACATGGCGCTGCACAGGAGTTATCCAGGGGAGAAGATGGATATACCAGATGATTCCTTTATCAAGGGGGTCCAGGAAGTGGGAACAGGATGAGAAAGACATCAAGGCATGAACCACCCTGGTGTGTATCAAGGACCCCAAGCAGCTTGTATTACTGGGAAAGAACTGAGATACAGAAGCTAAGGACGAGGAAGACTGTCCTGTCAGGACTGTGGAGGGCCTGGACGTCAACCTCAAGACCTGTGGGCCAGCCGACCCGGTGTGTGTGCTGTGGGCAGCAGAGGCGCCGAGCTGGCCAGCACTGTCTGTCACCTAAAGCTGGGCCTCCAATCCACGCGAGCCACGAGTTCGTTCCTTAACGCAGACTCTTCCACTATGAATAATAAATGAATTTTACTCCACTAATGAAGTCATAGTACTTTAAGACTATAAATTAACATTTAGGTTTTTAAAGTAGTAGATGTAGTTAGTTGAAAAAATAAAATAGTTCTACAAGGCAATCTCCTACCTTCTCCTAACTTCCCTTTCCACCCCCCTTCCCCACTTAAAGAGCATATTCAACTTTTTTACTTGTTTCTTCTGATACTTACCCTTATTTTACCTTTTTTAAAAAAGATTAATTTATTTATTTTAGAGAAAGAGAGAGAGAGACCATGAACAGGAGGGGCAGAGGGAGAGAGACAATCTCAAACAAACTCCACACTAAGCACAGAGCCCAACAAGGGGCTCAATCCCACAACCTTAAGATCACGATCTGAGCTGAAACCAAGAGTTGGACACTCAACTGACTCTGCCACCCAGGCGCCCCATCCTCATTTTTCTAAACACAATACTAATAATGCTATTTCTTTTATTTATTTCTTTTTAAAGATTTTATTTATTTATTTGACAGAGCAAGAGAGGGAGAGAGAGAGCACAAGTAGGGGGAGCAGCAGAGGGAGAGGAAGAAGCAGACTTCCTGCTGAGCAGGGAGCCCGATGCGGGGCTAGATCCCAGGACCCTGAGATCATGACTTGAGCTGAGGCAGATGCTTAGCCGACTGATCCACCCAGGTGCCCCTAATAATGCTATTTCTTGACTTTTAATATTAGATCTTATATACTGATGGTCTACCATGGAAGATGGAGATTTGGAATTTTTTACACCACTCCTAAAATACAATTACCCCTTCTCATCCCCCAATAGTTAAATGATGAGTTTTAATTAAATTAATATTCAGTGCTTATATTATTATGTCACATAAATGTTGCTCACACCTGAGCCACCTAATATAGTATACTGACATTTCTTGAACAACTTTTTCCCCTGAAGGCAGCAATTGCCTCATTTTCTTTTTCATTTGCTTAATTTTCTGCAAATCTATCATTAGTATCCCTAAAACTTTCTAGGAGGGTATAAACTCATCTCTTTGTAATCACTTCCTGTCACATCCTGGTTCAAGCCTCTCCATGGCTCTCCACAGCTGCTTCCAGAACAAAGCTCCAGCTTCAGCCTCTGCAGTTTGGTCCCAGCCTTGAGCCTTACCTCTGGCCCCTCTGCCATAGGTCTTCCCCTATCCAGTGACAAAGGCAATTGGTCCCACACCTATGATGCCAGTTTTAGCTTGTGCTTTGTTCCATGGAGGCTGAACTTGCCTAGGTCTCTCTGTCCCCTCTCTGATTCCAGCTCACCCCCGCTGCTCCCTCACCCTTTGCCAATCATATTCAAAAGTCTCCACCAGGCTCCCATAGTATCCTCAGAGTACTCAAGGGGTACTCAATCAGTTGTCTTGGTACTCTCAAACCAAGACAGAGCTGGGTACAGAGCTGATGAATGAAAGAGGTTTCTAAAATGATTAGTGTATGTGGTACCTGGCTGGCTTAGTAGTGGAGCACACGACCTTTCATCTTGGGGTTGTAAGTTCCAACCCCATGTTGGGTGTAGAGATTACTTAAAAAAAATAAAATCTTAAAAGAGTTATTGTAGAAAATTCTACACAAGTAAACTGTTTTGGCGTTATAAGAACTTGGAAGCAGTTTACTTCCACTTCAGAATCTAAGACCAACCACCCAAGCCCAATCAGAGACCACCATGGCTAACCTCACATCTTAGACCAGTCACCCCACCTACAGGTCCCAGCACAGGGCAGGCAGTCTGTCTCACTAGGTGGTCACCTTTCCCACTCTGCAGAAGGTTATACCAGAACATAGCTGTCCACAGAAACAAATGGCTATCAGAACACATCCTAGAGCTGGTTTTGAGGGAACAAATCAGAGAGGGTCCTTGGAAGACGCAATTTCTGAAATCCAAAGGAGATGCCATAAGTGATGAGCATGGGATTTGTTTTTATTCAGGGAAAGTCTTTACCTACATATATACCCACCACCCCAGCTCCACATGGTCTCTGGGACCTAACCATGGAGTGCTCCTGAAACGCTATCCTGAAAGAAAGCACTCACTTCCTTGTGTACAAGAGGACAGAGCTCTGGAAGTCCAGGAATACTGCCCAAGCAGCATCTACCCCTCATTATTATGATGAATATCTGGAAACTGACTTGTCCTTGAAGGAACTCCTGTTCCTTCTCCCAAAGTAAAGACCACAAGATCAAAGTCTAGGCCATTAGTTCCTGAGGCCATCACAGTCATAGTCAAATAAGGCAAGGAATGGGGCAGGGAAATGGACAAGACCTGAGCCCTGAAGCAACCAGTGACCTACAAAGAATAGAACTTACCTTCTTGGGCGCAATGATAGACCCTAGGTGTGGGAAGACAGAGGCACCACCAGCTTCGACATCGCTCATCTGGGAACACAAAGCACAGTGGTTGTGAGACCCTCAGACTGTCCATGCCACCTGATTCGGGGACGTGGTGTGCACCATGCTATTTTTCTCCCTTACCAGAAATGGCCAGGCCTCAATAACGACCAAGTTGGGCAAGGGATTTCTGGCCAGTGACTCTGAGGTCCTTCTCTTCCAAGAAGGGAGAATTACTTCCTAGAACAACAGGTTGGTTTCTGTTAATACTTTCCCCGTAGGTCGTTCTGCCCAGCCCTAACTCCCCTACCTCTGGAAGCTCTCAACCTGGCAGAGGTGCTCATCTTTTCTCCACAAGGACTCATGAACACCTACTATGTGGTAAAACAGTTCCCAACCCTGGCACACAATGACAAATAAAACAGGCACATAACTTCCTGCCTCATAGTTGGAGCTCTCAGGCATACAGTATGGTTCTCAACTTTGCTTCTGCCCTGACACACTCTGTCTGAAAGGACTGGCCACTGCGACCAGATACATGGAAGGGGTCTGGAGACTGCCAGAGGAAGACAGTGAGGCCAGTGATTTCTACTAGAGTCTGACCTCTAAAGGAGTCAGTGGCAGAGTCCCATTGGAGAATATTTAAGCCAGCACTCATTCTACACTTCTCAGCCAGCTAATACATTCCTTTAAAGGAACATTATCTGGACTGACCCTCATTCAGTCCCCATGAACCTAGCATTCTCAGAATTCACATAATATCTGTGGGTTGTAGTATTATCGGGCCCCTAGCTGGTAAAGCCTGCTGCTTTCCCTTTCTTGTGCTGGTACCTCTGCTCTACAACTCATTTCTGCAGGCCTTAAAGATAGGTCTCTTAGCTTTCTTCCAACTGCCTCTTCCTTGGGATCCATAAGAAAGGTTCTATAGGCACTACTTGGCCCACTTTACCATTCCCTGAGGCTTGGCAGCAAGAAACAGCACCCGGAGAATCACTTGGTCACACTATGTCTATAAGTGCCCCAGGAGAAGCTAATCCAACACTGCCTTGCCAGTACTACTTGAAAAGAAAGAATATTTTGGACATATATTAACTCATGTTCTTATGCCCCTTGCAATCTAGAGCTTCTCCCTTTCACTGCCTCCTTTCAGCCAATCAGCCCAGAGAGCACAAAATGAAGCCTATGTAGACAGGGTGATGAGCTATCCAGATGCTTCTTTCTGGATAAAATACTCATTTTTGAAGCTGCTAGGATTATCAGTTGCTAATATGTCCCTTTCCAGACATTGCCCTTATGTGAAGAGAAATGCCTCACCTACAGTTATCCAACATCCCTGGGGAGGGCCTGCATTCAGTATTTGGCCTAGGTACCTTGCTACATTTAAGGCAACTGTAAGGGGCCTTCTGAGTTCAAGAGCTCCTGATAGGACTGACTGAGGTCTGTGTTCCAACTGCCTCACGGTTCACCTTATTGAACTGTCCAACTCTATTTCTCTCAGTGCCTTGAAGGTGTTACTCCTGAATGCAAATCTCCAGTTTGGAGTCTATATCTAGGCAAACTGACCTAAAATCAGTTGGGACCAAGTAGTCCTTAGACACAGATTCTAAAATGGGGTTTTGGCACTGGATCATCTTCTTGATTGCTCACAATGAAGACCCCTTCAATGGTGATAGATGGAATACTGATATTCCCTGATATGATGTAGTGGCATTTGTCCAAACTTTTATAATGGTAAATTGGGATGGGATACCTGTGGAAAGGAATGCATTGGCTGGTGCAATATTCTGGGTGACTGGGAGATACAGGGGTGTGGTAGACAAATTAATGTCCTCACCACAGATGTCCATTTCCTACTCCCTGGGATCTGTGACTATGTCATAGTACTCAGCAAATGGGACTTAAAGTTGCAGGTGGAATTAATGTTGTTAATAAGATGACTTTAAGATAAAATTATCCTGGATTATCCAAGTAGGTCTAATGTTATCACAGTGATTCTTAAAATGTGGGAGAGGGAGGCAGGCAGTCAGAGTCAAAAGAAGATTTTAAGATATTATACTGGTGACTCTGAAGACAAAGAAGGACGCCAGGAGCATTCAAGAAGCCACCAGAAACTGCAAAAAACAGGAAAACAATTGCACAACAATGTGAATATATTTAATAGTACTGAACAGTACAATTTAAAATGGTTAAGATGGTAAATTTTATGTTGTACAATGTTATCTTACCACAATTTTCACAAAAAGTAGGAAATGAGCCTCCAGAGGGAACAAAGAATACAGACTTTACAGATTTAATTCATAAAAGTCATTGAACAAGAAAACCTAAAACAAACCTGGGGGTTGGGGAGAGTCTGGTTTGCATAGAAGCCATATTATATTCCTTAAAATGCCCAGTTTTCAAAAAAATTACTAGCTATGCAATGAAACATGAAGATGGCCCATACACAGGAAAAAAGCAATCCACAGAAACTGTCTCTGAGGACTAGGAAAAGACTTTAAAACAGCTACTTTAAACGTGCTCAAAGAACAAAAGGGAACCGTGTCTGAAGAACTAAAAGAAAATATGATAATGGTATGTCATCAAATAGAGAATATCGAAAAAAAGATAAAAATTATAAAAAAGGACCAATCTTGGAGTCCAAAATTATAAAAAAGGACCAATCTTGAAATCTTGGAGTTAAGTTCAAGGAGTGCAATTTTAAAAATTAATTAGAGGGTCTCAATAGCAATATAAGCTGACAGAAGAAAGGATCAGCAAACATGAAGAAATATCACTTGAAATTACCCAGTCTTAGGAACAGAAAGAAAAGAACGAATTAAAATTAAGAGAGCCTCAGAGACCTGTGGGAAACCCTCCAAAGTCTTAGAAGGAAAGAAGAAAGAGAAAGGGACATAAGGAATATGTGAAGAAGGGGCACCTGAGTGGCTCAGTTGGTCAAGCGTCTGCCTTCAGCTCAGGTCATGAACCCAGAGTCCTGGGATCAAGCCCCATATCAAGCTCCTTACTCAACGGACAGTCTGCTTCTCCCTCTACCCCTCCCCCCTGCTCGTGATCTCTCTCTCTCTCTCTCACACACACACTCTCTCTCTCTCAAATAAAATCTTTTTTTTTTAAGGAATACATGAAGAAGTAATAGCCAAAAACTTCCAAAATCTGATGAAAAACTGTAGATCTACACCTCCAAGAAACTAGTACAAAAGTGTCCTGGAAGCAGAACACTTAAAGAGGCATAAAATTCCCTACACTCATTTTATAATTAATGATTTTTTTTCTACTTTATCCTGGAGACAACAGGAAATTCACACATGTGACTATTGCTCATTGTACTAAAATAGACCACCCATGTCCGTTTTCTAAATTGTTATCACGTACTGCAATAAACAGAACAAATGGTCATGCTCAAAAAATTCCTGAAAGAAAAGTCCTTATCCAAATCAGCTGAGGTCTCACACTGATTAAGAAATGCCATTGTATTTTTTTTAAATGCTTAAAAAAAAGAATAAAATTCCTTGTCCAAATCAATTTTGTTTGGTTTTGTTTTATTTTTGTTTTTGTTTTTTGCCCATCAATGATGCTATTTTTAAAAGAAGAGAGTGGATCTTCATATTGTACCAACCTCAAATTGGGTAAAGAAGTATGAAAGAATTTTGATATTGCCAGTCATTTTTTTCAAAAGGAATATGTAAGAATGAGTCAGAAATCTTTCCTCTTTGAAGCAATCACCACTTATGAGCAAAATTCTCTTTGGAATTTTGAAATCTTAAAAGCAGTGCAAAAATAGATATCTGAGTATTATCTGATATAATTTTGGCTAGAGAAAGAAAGACAGTAGAAAAATGCCTGGTGTAAGTATCTAGGAATCTTGAGGCTTTTTTCCCTCATTGCTTATTTTAAAAATTAGCTCAAAAATCAAATAATTATTGGGGTGCCTGTGTGGCTCAGTCAGTTAACTGTTCGACTCTTGGTTTCTTTTTTTTTTTTAAGATTTTATTTATTTATTTGAGAGAGAGAGAATGAGAGAAAGAGAGCATGAGAGGAAAGAGTGTCAGAGGGAGAAGCAGACTACCTGCTGAGCAGGGACCCCGATGTGGGACTCGATCCCGGGACTCGAGGATCATGACCTGAGCCGAAGGCAGTCGCTTAACCAACTGAGCCACCTAGGTGCCCTCGACTCTTGGTTTCGACTCAGGTCGTGGTCTCAGGGTCGTGGAATCGAGCCCCACATTGGGCTCTTGCTCAGTATGCCGAGTCTGCTCGAGATTCTTTCCCTTTCCCCCCGCTGCTTCTCCCACCACTTGTGCTAATAAATAAAATCTTTTAAAAAATCAAATTATTATTTTAAGAATTAAAAAATTAGTCTTAGTCCAGAAGAGGAAATCACACCTCACTGGCAAAACAAATGGTTCTAGGTCTTTACTCTTTAATGGAGAGACTGATAACCTAAGGAGCAATAGAATAAAGAGGTACTGTGTAATATCAAAAGTCCTCCATGTGATTCTGTGACTCCTCCCTTTCCCTCTTTCTCCCTCTACTTCTAATCACTAAGTGATAGCAGCTCCTATACCAGGTTGATCATTAGTATCTTCTGGCGTGTTTCTAAAAATATAAACTCATGGATTCAAACCCTCAATACTTGGATTCAGTGGGGACCCTTCTAGCCTAGGCTTGGTGTGCCTACAGGGCAATCCAGTACTGACCATACTTACATAAGTCATGAATGTGGCCACACGATTCCCTGTCTCGTCAGGCTCCAAAGGCTCGCTGTCAAATCCCTGTGAAATTTAAGTGACAGTGACTATGCAGGTCTTAGACTTAACTAGTGAAGAAGCACAAAAAACAGTTGCTTTCCCATCCATTATAATTTCCCAAATAATGTGGTATGAGAAAAAGAAACCCATCACAGTCAAATATAGGTCACCCCACCCCTTTAGGATGGACATGAGCAGACAGGCAATTGAGAGCAGAACCAAGGCAGGAAGGCAGACACAGGAACTAAGTTTTGCATTCACAGGACAAACCACCAATTCAGGTCTTTGTCAAGGATGGAGATAGAAAATTCAACAAAGAAAGCAGATCAGAAAAGATGGCTAAAAAGGAATACATGCCACTCTTAGAAAACATTGCATCCGAGGCCTGGTTAAGTCAGGAAAAGTTCAGAGTAGAATCACAAAGGGGGCTTATCCACAGGACAAGGCTGGCTTTTGCTCTCAAAGTCTATGTAGTTACCTCTGTGAAAGCTGTCCCTGCAGCACCAAGAACGCAGTTCCCCAGATTCCCGTAAGCGGTGGGTCCATCCTGACCACAGAGACAGGTGCCCTCGGACTATATTATAGCAGTACTGAGAGGGCTTTGATCCCAGGGACATCTTCTTATGAAGGGTCAGATTTAAAGGAACAATCTTAGCTTAGACCTAGCTCTTCAGGAAGACTTCTCTGAATGCTCAGGCTGTGTGCCTGTTCACTGGGTCCCAGGACCCCTGCACACAAACTTCCTTTATAGCGCTTATTCAATTATTTAGAAAGTAGCCATTCATATGTGTGTCTCCCCCCAAAAAACTATGGTCTGTCTATGGGAACTGGTATTGTCTCCTTTGCTTTCCTAGCCCTAGTTTCCAGGAGAGTAATCAGCACATGAAAGGTGCTAACGAACATTTGTTGTTTAGTTTGCTAATTCAGCTTGTCTTTCCCAAAGGACAAAATGTCTGTCTTCTCTTTCTGTTTGGCTCAGCCACACCATGGAATTGTGCTGGGCTAAAGTACTGGAGCTCAGAGTTAATAGACTCAAGTGCTCCCCCTGTCACAGAGGAGTGAGTCTGACTGCAGAGAGGCAGAGGAACCTAGCACAAGAGGGGCTACAGGTGGGAGCAAAGGACTTTGTGTGGTTCTGTCTCTATCACTTTCCATCCCAAGAATTCATCTCAATTCCAGGTGTGCCTGGAGGAGACAGCACCACATTAGGAGAAGGGGATAAAGGCTTTTTCCTTTTCTGGGTGTGATTTTAAAATAGTCCCCAAAGATTTATCTTTGATAATTTAGAGGCCCCCTGAACTAGAAGACAAACCTCTCATGTGAGCTCTGACCTTCTCCTGCCAATAGAAACAAAACTCAAAGGAATAACGTTTTGCCCTTACCAAGAAATAATCCAAATGAGGTTCAAAGAAGCCTCCAATACTGTAATCAGCAACATGGCAGTAAAAAAAAAAAACAGATAGGGTTAGCTAGGTGGGCAACCTTCAAGTCATCCCAGGAACTCTGCATTCCCAGGCCTGCTCCTAAGTGAAGACACAATAAGCAGTCTATCTAAGACCTGCATCTAGATGAGGAAATTAAAGGTCAGAAAGGGTATGGAACTTATCCAAGGTCACAAAGCAAAGCTTTGATTCACACCCAGACTTTCTGGTTCCTGAGCTCATGCTCTTAAACCCTCAACAATTTGTGGATCCAGAGAAAGAAGGATAAGGCAACCAACGATCAGACTGGATAGGTTTCTGTAGAGAGGGACACAGAAGTGGGGCTCAGGGCATTTCAAGGTCAGTGTCCCCAAAATGGAGAATGGAGAGCTTCAGAGTAGAGGTAACCATAGCTCAAATGCAAGGTGGGAAGTGGCAGTAACAGGAGACAGGACAGAGATTACCTACCCAGGCTGACTCAGATAACTCACACCTGGAGAAATTCTACTGTTTCATCTGACAGCCCCGTGATGAGCTGAATCCTTCGATTTACTTGGCTAATCACAGGGTCTTCCTCTTCGGTCAGAAATACACTGAATAGGGAAAATCAGATATAAGAAAAGGGCATGAAGAAGAGAGAAAAGGGGACCAATGTGAGTCAGAAGCAGCAGATAGGGTAGAAAATGAGGGGAGGGACAAGGGGTTCAGAGATCATTCCTCCTGCCTATGTTACAACTGTCATTTCTGGCTCAGAAATGCCATGGGAGAATCTTCAGAATCTCACAATTTCAGCATTTACAGAGTCCTCCCAACTAATTCTTCCAACCCTCTCACTTGGGAAAGACAATACTGAGATGATATTGAGGAAGTAAATTGCCCAAATTTATAAAGTCAGTAAGTGGCAGAGCCAGGACTCCAACTCAAGGCTTCAAAATTTTAGTCCTGTGCCTTTTTTGGTGGTTTAATAACACCTCTCAAACTTAAACTCCAGACTGGTCAAACTATAACAAAAAGGCTGTATTCAGGTTAGGAAAAATCAGTCCTGAGGCCTATAAACAAACAGAAATCACACACATACACACACATACACAATCAGACCTAGGCCCACACAGAGGTATGCACACACAGTTACACACACCTAAGGACAGTGTGAGAGACAAAAAATAAACAAGTGGGGAGACAACAAGTGAACATCCAGGTCAAAGAAATCTCACATATATGAACAACATGGCTGGAAGAGATGCCAAACATCCCATCCCAAGATTACCTTTTCCCGACCCTGACTTTAGATGAGTCGACAGAAGCTGAAGTAATATTAAAGACTCTGGATCATTTCATCTAGCAAATAGAACCTGAGGATGAATACAGGCTAGTATTCAAACTAGCATACCAGTACCCCCTATGATGTGCACAATTTTAGCAAGAAATACACAGAAATTGACTTCCAATTCTTCAACTTCTAACCATATTCTTTCATAGCTTTGTTCAATTTTTCTTTTCAAATAGTCCTTCCCCCTACTATTCAAAAGAAATACACCTATAATTTTACTGTGATATATTCCTCCCAGGTGTAAAAATTCCAGAGCATCAAAAAAAAAAGGAAACAATGTTAAATACTATTTCAGAGAAGTTTCCTCTAGGTTAACCAAGGCACCTAGTAACTCATCGTAGCACTTCCTGTATCTAAAACATATTTGTGATAAATACCAAGTATGACATTTGAAAATGAGGTATTCTGGCCTTCGTGAGGATGTTGTGAATAAAAGTATTTGTAAAGTAGGACAGTGTAATTTATATATATTTTTGTCTCACAACTTTGCTTCTTCTATCTTTTCACTATTTTCAAAGAAGGCCCTACTCTTATGGGATGATATAGTAAGGGCAAAGTGAGTAGTAATATAGAATATTTACATGAAAAATGGATTCACGTATTTAAATACAAGCAATTCTTTTCAACTATTATTAACATTCACCCATTATCCATGCCTACAGTGTAACTAGAAAACAGAGAAACTACACATTTCAATTTTCTTTAAGTAGGTAAATAAACACCAGATGTCAGCAGAGCATTCCAGAGACATCTAAGCAAAGAATCTGTCTGAGGCTCCACAGAGGGTGAAAAGCACAGTGTGCTCTTAATGGTTGTGAAACACCATTAATTATGAAAAGGAAAACCATAAAATTTCATCTGGAGTGTTGCTTCCAGAGGGAAAAGGCCCTTCCTTGAGTATGGAAATACTGAGAAAACACCTCAGGAGATCTAATCAATGATACAAGTTACTATAAGTAAAAAAAAATAAATAAAATGAAAATCAAAACTTTACAGGAGTTGAAAACACAATGAAACAAATCTATCCCCAGCCAAGAAACAGGAAAATTATAACAAAATACTGTCACATAAAGTAAATATAATTACATAAGCAACTGTAGACATGAAAGAACATAACAAATCAGAAATTCAAAAACTTACAATGGATACAGACAACAAAAGAAAATGCAACATAGAAACTAATCATATTCAGGAAAACTTTAAAAAATGAAATTATCTCAGATACGAATACTAAATTATAAGGTCCCCAAGAAAGATAGAGATATGGCCAAAAGTATACTAAGAGACACAGAGGACAGAATGAGAAAAGTAAAGAAAATAAAGCAAAAATGAAGATAAAGGTAAACAGTATCCTAGATAGTTGCAAATATAAAAGGCTGACAAAGAAGAGCAATATGGGTATTACTGGAGTCCTTAAAAAAAGAAAAAGAGGGGCACCTGGGTGGCTCAGTCGTTAAGCATCTGCCTTCGGCTCAGGTCATGATCCCAGGGTCCTGGGATCAAGCCCCTCATCGGGCTCCCTGCTCAGCAGGAAGCCTGCTTCTCCCTCTGCCGCTGCCTCTCTCTATCTCTCTCTCTGACTCTCATGAATAAATAAAACATTTAAAAAAAAAAAAAAAAGAACACTACAGTAACGACTCTCATAGTGAAGAACCACCAATGAATGCATAAATTAGCAGATGAAAAGTTTAAACAAGAATAGGATATATGCAAAGTCTCAAGGTAGCTCCCCCTAAATATTTAGTAATTCCAAGAAAAAAAATAGTACCTTTGCAGTGGAGAATCCTAACAGACACCATCTTAAGCAAGCGATCAAGGTTAACATCCCCAGTCATCCATACTGACACCACATACTCCCAGACAGGGAACACAAAGAAGAGGGACAACACCTCTGGGACACCCTTCCCAATAAGGCATAAGCCCAGTCTCATCATGACAAAGCCGCAGACAGATGCAAAATGCAAAATGAAGGACACTTTACAAAATAACCAGGATTATTCAAAATTGTTAAGGTCACTTCTGAAAGACAAGGAATGACTGAGGAGCTATCACCGACTAAAAGAGGCTAAAGGAACAAAACAAATAAATTAAATGTGGTACCCCAGACTGGATTCTGGAACAGAAAAAGGATAGTAGTGAAAAACATCTGAATAAATTCATCACTTTGGTCAATAGTATTGTACCCAGGGCAATGTCTTTGCTTTAATAATCATCTAACAGTTATGTCAGATGTTAACATAAGAGGAAGCTATACAATGCATACAAATGCTCTGCACCATTTTTGTAACTCTTCTGTAAACCTAAAATTACCTAAAAATAAAAGCTAAAAAAATAAGGTAACAATGGCATATAGATTGAGAGAGAAATATAGAAACTGAAAACATTCGATGGGCCTTGTATAATCTAAGAAGTAAAAGTACCGAGTAATATTAGGAGATGGTAAATCAAAAAATGCATGTCATACTTTCTAAGGTAACCACTTACAGACCAGTTAAGAGTTTATAACTTCCAAGATAGTAGGATGAGAAAATGGAATAATAAAATAAAATGGAGGGAGGCCTGGGTGGCTCAGTCGGTTAAGCGTCTGCCTTAGGCTCAGGTCATGATCCCAGCATCCTGGGATGGAGTCCCACATCAGGTTCCTTGCTCGGCCTGCTTCTCCCTCTGCCTGCCGCTCCCCCTGCTTGTGCTCTCTCTCTCTCTCTGACAAATAAATAAATAAAATCCTTAAAAAGATAAAAATAATAAAATGGAAAGTTAAAAGAAGGTAAAGATAAAAAAAATAGAGACACACACACATGAACAGGTAGAAAGAAATGAAAGCACTTAGGAAAATAGTAGATTAAAAACCAAATATATGAAAAATTAAATTAATTGAAAGTGGACTAAATGCAAAACAATGTAAGATTGCATTAAAATATCCAACTATATACTGTTAATAAGAGACACAGAGAAAAGACAAAAAGTTTAAAGTGAAAGAATGTAAAATGAGCTACCTGCAAAATTCGAACCCAAGAAATCTGATGAGACCATGCAGGTATCAAACAAGGTGAACTCTAATACAAAAATTACTACTAAAGATAAAAATGATAAATGCATCATAATGATAAAGTTAAATTCATGTGGAAGATTTAACAATTCTGAATTTGTATGCACCTAACACCATAACCTCAAATATATACAAAGCAAAAATTAACAGAAATGTAACTAGAGAAATCTGTAATCATACTGGGAGAGCTTAACCTCTCTCAGTAACTTACTAAGAAAGCAGATAAAAAAATCAGTAATGATACAGAATATCTGAACATGATTTACAAACATAACCCAATTGATGTACGTGGAACATTACACCCAAAGCTACACAATATACATTATTTCTAAGTTCACTGTGAATATTTTCAAAACTTAACCACTGCTGGATCATTAAGCAAACCTTAAGAAATTTTAGAGGACTGAAAACAGACAGACTGTATTTTCTGGTCAAAATATAATTAAATTAGAAATTAATAACAAAGATTAAAAATCCCACAAATTTGGTAATTAAGAAATATGCTTCTAAATAATCTATAGGTCAAAGAACAAAACACATTGAAAATAAAAAATATCTTAGACTGAGTAACAGTAACAATGCAATACATTAAAACTTGCAAGGTACAGCTAAAGCCTGGCAACCGAAAGCTAGAGGCCAATGTATTGATTAGTTTGGGGGTTACTACCGAAGTTTTCTGTCTGCATCTTTTCCAGTCCTCTGGCTACAGGAAGCAGGCTTCTCTCTGGGCTTTTTGTCTGTTTGTATCTGTTGGCCTTCCCAGGTTGCTGGCTTCTCCAGCACCAAGTATGAGAGGTATGAGGCAAAAAGAAAACCAAGGGAGCTCACTGCTGTATCATTCCCTGTCCCAAGGTTCCTAGCTGGTCTGCCTTCTTCTCCCTACCCTTCAGAGTATTCTAGTGTTTGTTTTCTTTTTCTTTTTCTTAAAGATTTTATTTATT